TAAAGGTTTTCATCAGTATTCACGATTTGATATTCATTCATTTCATGTACACATAAAAGTATTCACCGAAAGATATTTATTCAAAGGTATTCACTATTTATTTGGTATACAACTATTAAGTATTCACAATTCAGTGTACACCTATTAGGTATTCATTAAATTGAATACCATAACTGGATACCTTCGATTGAATACCATGTCTAATGTATACAACTGAAGCATACGGTTTTGAATGTTTGCAGTTTATAGAACAAATTTTGATTTTTTTCTTTCAAAAAATCATGTTTTTATCCAATCATGATTTTGAAAAAATTGATTCCTATTTGATAGAAAAACTAGTTTTTAAAATAACTTCCAATTTTTGAACAAAAACTGGTGTACACCATTATGTGTACATCAAATGAATGTTTGCATGGATTTTAGTTTTTGGTTTGTGGTTTTTAAATTTTGGTTTTTGATTTTTCAGTAGATTTTTGTTTCCTAAAATCTTGAATGGTATGATTTTTTTAGTTTCTGATTTTCTTATCAATAATTATTTTTCTAAACATTTTTATGCTTTTTAATTTTAATTTAATTTTATGTGTTTAAAATTTACAAAATTAAATAAATAAAATTGAAGTTCATATATTTGTAACTGAAAAATATAATAAATAATAAAAACTATAAAATTAGAGATCCTTTCTAGAGTAAAAAATTTATGTAAAAATGTACATAGGTAAAATAAGGTTATTTTAGAAATGAGATTTTGTTTTGCTTATACGTTTTTTATTTTAGAAATATATTTTTTTTGTAATTACTTATTGAAAAAATAGCAGTTTTTTTTTTAAAAGTAAATAACAAAAACTTACAAAACTTATTGGAAAAATCCATATAGGGTGGTTTTTGGTTTTTTTTAGAAAAAATAAAAATTCTGAAAAACTAGTTTTTCTATAATTTAGAAAATCCATTTTTTTCAAAAAACTTGACTGGTTAGTAAAATGGTTTTTTGAAAAACGAAAACCAAAATCCGTTAAAAAAGAAAAACTTCAAACAACCAAAGCCTAAAATTTTTTGTTATTTTTGTTTATGAGTTTTATGTCAAGATTTTTTTGTTTAACACTACCCTATTCTATCCACCATTCAAGTTTTTCTAAAACCAAAATCTACACAAAAATCAAAAACCAAAAAAATCAAAAACTAAAATCTGAAGACCAAAAATCTGAAGCCAAAAATCAAAATCTAAAATTTAGAAAACCACTCAAACATTCATGGCCTACATGTCTAATGTATACATAACTGAAATATATAACAAATTTGAAATAGTATCTGTTTTTAAAAATTCAAATTTTAAAATGTGTAGCAAAAAATCAATATATTTTAAAATATCTATTATTGTATTTTTTATTATTTAAAATAATATATAAAAGTGAATGAATTAGAAAAAGAAGAAGAAATAAAAAAATGGAAAGAGAAAATAATATTTTTTAATAAAAATCTGTTTTTTTTTTCTTCTCTCACGATACTCTCTCTTCTCATTCTTCCTTTGTTTTCTCTCTCCTTTGTTTTATTTTCTGTGTTATATTTATTCAAATTATTCTTTTTTTTTAAATCAAAATGACATCAAAATGTAATAACAGATAATAGTAAAGGATGATATAGTTATTGACCATAAAAAACTGCCCAAACACATACATTTTTTCAAAACACACCCTTTTAGCAAATTAAAAACTTAAAACTACCAATTTGACCAATTTTCTCTTAAAAATATAGATACTTTAAAAATTTAATGCCGAAGATAGCATGACCCGCTAGAATAGATGGAATGGAATATATGGTTTATATCTTTTAATCAAGCTTGATAACTCGATAAATATTTGCTAAATTTCATATATTTGTTACTTGGTTTGATCCATTAATTGAATGTTTTACTTGTATTTTGACCCAGTTAAAACAAGTACTCGTTATTTCAAGTACTTGCAAAATTTTTGAATACTTACAAATTATTTGAACCGGCTTGTTACTTCTTACATATAATTCATTACTTGTTATTTGAATCTGAAATACTTGATCATTTGAACCTAACTAAAATAAAATAAAAAATTCCCTTCATACAAAATGATCAATACACACTCAAACACACAATCAAATTAACATTCTAGTATCACATAAAAACTTAAAGTAGTAGATAAAAATAAACAAAAGATAAGCATCTGAAATATTAAAACATTGTTCCAAATAAGTAATAAGTATTTAAATTAATAAGTAACAAATATCAAATAATGGGACAAGTATTAAAAATAAAAACAATATTTGATACTTGATCCATACTTGCAACTTGCAAGTAATAAAATTTGTTGACTTGTTACTCGACTTGACAACACAAACTACTTGTTTTATTTATCCAGACAAGTACGAGATTAGTAATGAGTACGAAAAAATATGAAGCATTAGTGCCCAGCCGGTCTTTTATGATTAACAAAAAAAATAAACTTGGATCAAATTAGAACTGCTCTGGTTGCCGGTTGGGCCGGTTGCAAGCACTAAACAATGTAATAGAATGAATAAAGTTGTTTGTATTAGTATCGTTGCTGTATCATCATCAAATTTTTAAATAATGCATGTTGTTAATAAAGATATAAAAAACGATGTGACATTCTAACAATTTTTTTTAGTCTTATTTTAATATTTAAGCATTCTAAGAATATTATTGAGTCTTGATCAACAAACAAAAAAAGAAAGACTATTGAGTATTGTACTAAAACTTTTGATTATTTTAATAATTGTATGTATTAATAACAAACAAGCAGTATTTTCTTAAACCAAAGCTTAGATCTATTTGCTACGGTTTGTAGAAATATTAAGATGAAAATCCCTATTGATTGATTGTTGACTATTGATGAATGTTACATAAGTAAACTGAATTAAAGTAAAACTTATGAAATCCTAAAATATGGGTTGCTTATCGAATGTGCATTTTAATAAATGGGAAGATTAATATTAGAAAAAAATTATTTGGTGGTTGCTATTATTGTGTGAGACAATAGAACTGATAGTTCCCCGGCACATCTTTGTGTGTGTCAGTGTTGTTTGATGGTTGGACTACCGTCTGTGTGACCACGACAGCAGCCAACGTTGGGAGGAGTGACGACTCTCCGAGCTGTCTGTGAAACCTACATGCCCTTGTGTAGCCTTCAGCGTTTGGGTATCCGATCAGATTCGGTTTGGATAATTCGGATTTTCAGATTTAAAACTCATTTGTGTATTTTTAAAATTAATTAAATTCAAAGAAAATTGATTATAATTCAAATAAATTTTGGTAAAACTTAACAAATATAACTAAAAACTTTAGTATATTAAGATTATTTTGGGGTTTTTCATCATTTTTAAAATAAAAGTAACTCATATTTTTGATTGATAATTGTAAATTTAGGTGATTAAGTCTAAATATAATTAGTATTTTGGGTATATAATTGTATTTTGGATATTTCAGATATCCATTCGGGTTTTCGGTTTGGTTCGATTTGGTTTCGGTTTTTCGGATTTAGAAATCTAGGAACCATTCGAGTATTTTATCGATTATGGTTCGGGTTCGGTTCCTCTTTTTTAGGTCGAGTTCAAATAAATTGTTCGGGTTTGGATAATGTGCCCAAAGCTACTCTTGTGTGGTCTTTATGTGTAGAAGCCGTCTGTGTGACCGGAATTATGGGCCCTTGTGTGGCTTGGAGCATGTCCTTGTGTGGCTTCTGCTCAGTGTTTGTGATATGTTGGCTAGCGGTCTTAATGTGTAGGCAAGACACATACCATGCCTTGCAGGGGAGGCTGAGTGTATATGTGACCGTAATCACCAAGTTGGTTTTGACCATGCCTGTTGCTTGCGTAGTTGCTTGTGTAGTTGCTTGTAGCGGATGTTTGTTGTGTTGATGGCTTAGAAGACATTATGACTGTTATTGTTTGAGTTTGTTTTAGGATTAGACTTTTTATAGATAATTCATGTTTGTTTGATGTGTTGTGGGCCTCCCTAATGCTCATCCTCGTTGAGTAATCCCCATCAGCCTATGTCCATGTTCTTGTTACGTGGGCGTTTTCCTTGGCGATTATATGTGCTCACCAATTCACCAAACCAGGCGTATAACCGTATACAGTTCAGATAACTAATCTAACATACCTATTTTCCAGGATTTCTAAGAAGTCCGGGATAGGGAAAAAAACTCTGGCGGTTTAAGATGTGTGCGGTGAAAGAAATATGAGTTTTGAAATAATTTTGTGATATTTAATTTTGATAAACAGTTCTTTTTAAAGTTAGTTACTTGATGTAAATTTTAATAAAACAATTCGATTACAAAACAGTGTATAATCTACTTGATTATTATGATATCAATATGGTATATTTTTTTTGTAAAATTAGAGTATGAATTAGTCTAATTTCAGTATCATAACAGTATGATTTCAAATTTATATGAATTTTAAAAGTAAATGAGCTAATCTTTCCATTTACGTATTGGGTTAAGACATCTCCAATGCTTGATTGAAAATATACAGATATTTTAAAAATTTAATAATAAAATTGAGTTATAAATTTTAGTATCAATGTTATTTGTTTTCATGATAATGTGGATGGATACATTTAGAAGAAAAAAAACTATTTTCTAATATATGAACATTTTTTTAGGTTTTTTAATGCTAACTAATTACCAAGAAAAAAGACAGAAAATCCGCAAACGAATCACTTTTGTTTCATCACTCTCATTCAAGGCCCATGATAGCATGACCAGCATAACCCTTACCCAAAGATGAGTGCATACAACTTTTTTTTTCTTTTAATTGATTCAATTTTCTAAAAACAAAAAAAGAAAAAAATATTATGTTAGTGGCAGATAAAAATAAAGTATCATAACTATTTAATGAAATTCTATGGTTTCCACTTACGAATTAATCACTCCAATATTTTTATGTAATTTTATTCTGCATATTTTATTATTTATTTTCGTCAGAAAATGAGTAACATGTATAACAAAATCAACTTGAGTTGCAAATATACTTCATTATTGGAAAATTATAAATATTGGGCTGTTCATCAAAGTTTGTAATACAAAATTGACAATATTACACGCACAAAAAAAAACAGAAAAAAAAAGAATATTACACAGTTCACACAGTGACGAAGAGCCACGAGTCCAACGGAAAACGAAAAACCGGATGTGATATTTCCATCTGTGTTCAACCAGCTTAAGAAGCCCGACCCGGATCCGAATCCGGTTCGGCTCTGTATTGTTGTTCATCAACACCAGGAACAACCATACCAGGGTGATGCTGATACATTTGGACCGGCCCAGGTGTTTTCATTCCGTAATAAGCCATTCGGTTAACTCCATCGACTGGCATCATAACCGGCCTAACCGTTCCACCATATACTTGACCCGGACCAGGATTCTGATGTAGCTGAGGTTGTTGATGGTATCCCATTGGTACTTGATTGTATTGTTGAATATACTGACCCGGCATTTGACCCGGCATTTGAACCATATAATCACCAGGCTGAAGCATGTGATTTGCCGGTCGAACCATCGGATTACCTCGGTGAATTGAACCAGGAACGTAATAAACCGGTGTTTGGTGATGAACTTGTGGTGGACCAGCGGGGAATTGCCATTGCGAGTAAACCGGTTGATGATTACTCTGTTGAATTACTTGCTCCGGTTGAGGATCGGCTTTAGGAGTCGAAACCGGTTCTGGGCTTTCCGGTTTAGTTTGAACCGGTAGAAGTTCCGGTGTAGAAGATCTCATCACCGGGGCAGAGGAGGTCGAACCATACGGCGAAGGAACATCGCGACGAGGCGAACCAGGATCTGAAAGCGTCGAGACTTCTCGACGGATCTTAGCTCTCGGATCACGATCACGAAGCTCATGCGGCGGAGCAGATTCGTCGAAATTATCCAGTCCAAAGAGGTAATCAGGAACTTCCGAGACAATCGACGAGACTTCAGATCGAACGCGCTCGATTCCTCTACCGTTAGACGCGGCGGTGGCGGCGGAGGCGGAGGAGCCGAGATTGAGAGCGTCGAGGAACCATTGCTCTCGATTAACAGAGCTATCGAGGAGAGAGCTGATACTACTGGCTCTACTATCGTTGTCGTCTTCTCCGGCGATGCTTTTGGTGAAGAGGAAGAGACGGAGACGAGAGGAACGTGGGTTTTGATTCTGTGCGATGCGGTCGTATTCGTCCATCATGTTCTCTACATCTTCGTCCGTTGATACGGAGATCAACGCGTCAAGATCTTCGTTTGGTAGCTGGTACTTCACGCTGATGTTGCTTTTACCTTATCCAAATATTCCACCGCAACATCATAATAATTATTACCAATCAAACAATTATTTTTATTTATTACAAATTGAAAACTTTCCCGCAAAATTCCAAAGTTTTGTGGCCAATAAATATCTGCCCAATTTCCAACTATTTAAAAGCTGCAAAAATATTTAAAATAAACCAATAATTCATATAGTAGTTGACAAAAAAAAAACATATGATTTTGATCCAACTTTGTATTGGGTAGAATATACTTAACAATGATATGCATAACTTCTTCAATAACTTACCGAGCCAGTTGAAAACGGTTTTTGGACCAACTCTTTAAAGGGCCAAATGTGATGTAATAGTTGGGTTGTAGAAAAAAAAAAAAAAAAACTTCTTCTATAACTCAATAGACTTTATTTTCAAAGGATTAATGTTTGGATCAAATGTTCCGACTCGATAGTTTTCAGGGTTGGAAAAAATCCGAAATTATGTGCAAAATGATATGATCGAAAATATAATTGTGGGAATCGATTTAATACTTTCCCGCAAAATTCCAGAATTGTGTGGCCAATAAACATCTTACTAATTTCCTCATATCAAAAAGCTGAACAAAAAAACATTTAAATTAAACCAATAATTCATTCATCATATCTAAAATAAGATCCAATTCGTATTGGGTTATAGAGTGATCTGCATATCAAACTTCTCTTAAAACCGAATTTTTATTTGGAAACGGATTAATCTTGTGCATCCTACTAAGTAATTTTAAAGACCGAAAGCTCAAAAATCTCTAATCCGTTTTCAAAAATCACGAAGTCAATAAATCGGAGCTATGTAATTTCGATTTTGATCGATTCGAATCGGAAGAATGATTTGCTTACCGGAGAGTTTAGCGAGTTTACTGAGGAGAGAGGAAAAAGTAGTGTGACGATGAACGGCGACCATACGATTGTCGCCGCCGACGTAACAGAGCTGATTATCCGGCGGACGAGGCAAGATCCTTCCTCCAAAAGTGCACATGAACCGTACACGTGGCTGATTATCGTACTCCGATCTCGGCGATGACGCCAATGAGTCGTTATCCAGCTCCGGCGGAAGGATCGAAGCCATTTTGTGCCCTCTCTCTCTCTCCTCCTCTTCCTCTTCGTCGCCGAGGATTTTTGGTAAGTTTTTAGGATGATTTTGTTTTGTTTGATTCGATACAACGACCATATAATTATTAAAGGTGAATGTTCGGGAAGAGTATAGGTTAGAGTGACGGGACTGTCATGGACCGCATTATCACTCCACGATTATTGCCTATGTTGTGATCATTTTTTTATTTTATTTTTGTCTTCGATTACTTTTTAATGTTGAAAGTAGTTTTAAAAAAACTGGATAAATCTCAATAATGAATGAAAATCTGAATATTTATACTATTTAAAATGTTTACAGTGGTGAACCATGATTAGAGAATCATAGTAAAAGAACCTTTGTAGAGCCAAGACCGGCCCTGACATAGCAAAGCGAAGCAGTGGCTTTAACCTGTATATTTTCTTAAGAGTCACTCACAATACATTTTTTTTTCTTTTTTTTTTGGCAAAAGAGTCACTCACAATACATTTGTTTTTCTTTTTTTTTTTGGCAAAGAACTCACTATACATGTTACATCTCGTTTCTAAATCAGAATTTTTTTTAAAAGTTAAAAATTATGTTAAATTGTTTGGGTCCGGTCCTAAGTGGTTAATTATAATATGGATTCGACTATATAAGAAATAAGAATTGTTAAACAATTTACACAAAAAAAAACATAAAACGTGCATGGCTAAGATAGTACTGGTCCATGAACCAGGTGCTCGTGTCCCCGTTTTGGACTCGATTCCGCCTAGCCACCTTTTCACGATTAAATTAATAAATTGCTGATATGTACTCTTGTTATTAGCAGCTAGTGATTTGTATTAGATCCGAAAAATATTTGGATACACCAATTTAACAAAAAGAAAAAAAAAAACTGGTCCGTAAAAACTGAAAACTAATAGCCGTAATTCTGTTATAACAGGCGGGATCTCAGAAGTCAAGTAGGTATCAACCGGAAATTAGATGATCCTAATCATTCACAATATTCATTGATATATATATATATATATATATATATTTGAATATTTTATAATTTTGTAAGATAACTTTTCATAATTGTACGCATTAATAAAATAAAAAATCTTGTACGTATGATTGATTTCTAATGTTCAACAAAGTTGCTGTGTTCCTTACGTCGGCACAAATAAAACAAAAAGAAAAAAAGAAGGAAAAACAAAGTTCGTAACATATGACATCGAGCTGAGTTGGTTATTACTACGGAGAATTAAATTATATTAAGTTATTAACACTAATTATTATGTCTATAATAATAAATTTTATGTCGCTGTAGGTGTTGGTACAATTCAAGTATTCAACTTGAGATGACATTTAAGTTCGATTATTGTTAGAGTTGTACTTTCCACTCCCAGTTTAGTCCGGTATAAATTAAAATTAGTCTAATTTATTTTGATTAATGATAGTGTATATTTGAAGAACATTTGACATACTAACGGTTTTTAGGCCAATTAAACCCGACTTCTGCATTAATATCCGAATTTCGCATAATATTTCCTAATCTTACCTAGAAACCAAAAAAAAATTTGAAAATATACATTTTAAAAAAAAAAAATTCTTATCAACTATGAAAAATAAGAAAATCTCTAATATCAAATTAAAAAAAAATGAAAAATAAAATCGACCGACTTCAAAATCTATAAATATTAAATAAAGAGCAAACCCAAACTAAAATTTCCGAACTGTAACCGAACCTAAATTATAAAATTATCCGAATGGATTATGAAAGATCTAAACTGAAATTCCCAAATCCGAACCGAACTGAACCCAAATTGTATAAATCCAAATAAAATTAACCGAACTAACCAAAACTCAAACAATAAATAATACTTTTAATTTAATATATATCAAAAATATACTAAAATATCATTAAGTATAAAATATTATTGAAGTTTAATTAGTTATTTATATTTTTGTTATAAACCGAACTGAAACCAAATTCAAACCAACCTAAATTATTACAAACCAAACCAAACCAACGGATATAAAATTTAATCCTAAATAAGACTTCTTTTCTAAACTCCAAAAAATTCAAAAACCAAAAAAACCCAAACCGAACCAAACTGAACCAAATAACTGAATGTCCACCCCAACCTCATTCATTCAAAAAATTATCCACAACTTAATAGAAGATCTAGAATATATCTTCTTATTCTTTAGTTCATCTTCTGATGATTTAATTATCTTTATAATATTAATTATGAATATCTTGATCCCTATATTAAGTACGTAGGCTGCCGGCACATCTATAAAATCAATAAAAATCTTTTAAATCTAAACTGATTTCAACCATCAACAAGAATTTGACTAAGGAAAAGGGGATGTTCTTCATGGTGTGCGGTTATTAGTGAGTTTTGGTTTACATTATTACACATGACGATAAAATATTTATATTATTTATTTTTAAAATATATTTTATATATACAAGTAACAAATGGATTTTGTTTGATATGTTTTTCGGCAGATCGACCCATATCAAACAAACGGTCAAAGTTATGAAAATATTGATAATCAAAAAGGATTTAGAAAATTACTGTTATTTTGCCAATATCTTTAAAAAAAAAATGTCTGTGCATGTCTTTTCAGAGTTTTTTTTTTCTCGAGTTTATGCATGTTTCATGTTACTTAGGAGAAAAACTAGTCATTAGATGAGTTGCAAAGTAGCAAGTGGAAATCCGGAAACTAAGCTCTCAAAAAGCTTCAGGTCGTGAGTTTCCACAAAATCCATGACTCATATCCAAAATCTTCAATGTTTCTTATAGAATTTTGTTCAATTTTTAAAATATGTACTATAATGTTAATTTGATATAAATTTTAAACTGTCCTGTAAATCTTTCAATGAAATGGTTTATATCTTTTATGATTAACCATCACAAACAATAAACGATGTGATAGACCATAATATGAATAAAGTTGTTTGTATTACCATCGTTGCTATCATCAAAATTTTAATATGGTAATATGGTATAATGCATGTTGTTAATAATGATATAAAAAACGATGTGACATTCTAACACTTTTTTAGTCTTATTTTGATATTTAAGCATTCTAAGACTATTATTGAGTCTTGATCAACAAAATAAAAAAAAGACTATTGAGAATTATACGAAAACTTTTGAATATTATTCTAACATCCTTGTATGTCAAATCTTGAAGATTTGCTCATAAAATCAAAAAACCAAGAAACCCTTTGACTCTTTATAACCATATGCAAAGTTTCCAAGTAAGTAACTTACAAATTACTTCATAAAAAAACCCCATTGTATTGTGCTCTCTTCCGTTCTCAAATCTTGAAACAGGGAACTTTTATTTGAGAAGAGTAACAATGGCGGACAGTTATGAAAACCAAGCTCCTGAGAAGCATCAGGTTAGTTAAATTATAGATCTCAGATCAAAAATCTTGTAACGTTTTATCCTCAAATTGTTGTTTATGTCTGAATAAGAAAAACAGGGAAAGTATAAAGCAATAGTTGTTTCTTGTATTCTTGGAATCGGATCTCTCGTTTCTTGGAACAGTCTGCTCACCAATACCAAGTTTTCTCGGTTCGGTTTCAACTCAGTCAATACTCAGATTCAAAATTGCTTCTTGAAATCTGATTGTTTTGGTAATCTATTATATTAAAACAGAAACAATTTTAATGTTTGTTTCCAAACACTCCCAAAGTTTTTAAAAATTATTTTATTTTATATTTATATTTAATTCCGAAAATTAGGTATTAATTTAGATATTTTTAGATTCTATTTAAATATAGGTAATAATTAATTTAAAATATTTATTTTATATTGATATTCAATTTCGAAAATTAGTTATTAATTTAGATATTTTTAAATTTCCTTAAATATGATCATATTTAAATAAAATTTCAAATTATTCAAAATTTTTAATAATTATAGTATTTAATTACAAAAATTTAGATTTAATTTAATTTAAAATTTAAAAATTTTAAAAATTTCTAATTAAATTTTATACAAAAATTTAGGTAATAATTTTAATTACTTTAGAATTCTTTTAATATAGGTTAAATTTAATTTAAAATTTAAAATTTAAATTGTACTTTCATAATAGCGCAAATGGTAAACGAATATCTTATTGTATTTTATCATAATTAAACGGTCTAAAATATCAAATATTTAAAATAAATAAATATTTATATTATACAATAATATGATGGAGCTGATTAAGGTTTTGTATGATTATACTTCAGGTTCTATACGGGTTAGTTTGTTAAAACATATAAGATATTAAGATGATTTGAGATAACAAAATGAACAAGTTACCCAATTTATAGATATATCTATTTTATAATAACACAAATGGTACTTGAATATCTTATTATATTTTATCGTAATCAAATCGGCCTAAAATATCAAATATTTAATATTAATAAATATTTTATATTATAATAATATGATAAAGCAGGTTAGGCTTATTATGTTTTTATAATTACACTAGATTCTAACCCCGTGCGTCCGCACGGGAATTTTTTGTTTAACACATCTTATTTTTATTATTTTTTTATATTTGAAAATTTGAAAATGAATATTTTGATGTAAGAAAATAAATAAATAATAAAAATAACTTATATCTAAAAAAATATAAATTATATTAGAAAAAAACAAGAAATTCCCGTGACGACGCACGGAGTTAGAATTTAGTATATAGTTAACGTATGAAACTTCTTGTCTCCCTAGGATTACCATCCTTTAAGAGTGCTCACATTTGTATACCAACCATTCGCACTAGGAACAATCACGATTCTTGCATACCACGAATCGAAACTCAACACACGTACACGTAACTTGGTCGGTTACATTGTATTCACAATCTCTACATTCTTGATCATCGTCGTAAGTCTAACTCTCACATAAATCTTCTTCTTCTTCTCTCCTTTTTTTCTTTGTTTTTTACATTTTGAAACCGGAATGGACTAATTGGAGTTAAATACACGAAACAGTTGGATTTATCAACAAAAGGACATGGTGGGATCGGACCTTATATCGTTTTATGCACAATTGTTGCTTCTTTTGGATTGGCGGATGCTGCGGTACGAGGAGGAATGATTGGAGACCTATCGTTGATGAGCCCTGAACTCATCCAGGTTTAAAGAATTTTACATATTCAAGATCTTTGTTTAGATTAACCACCTTAGAATGTATATTTTCTTGCTTCTTTGTAGTCATTCATGGCTGGTTTGTCAGTGGCTGGCGCTCTAACCTCAGCACTTAGGCTAATATCCAAAGCAGCCTTTGAGAAATCGCATGACGGTCTGCGAATAGGAGCAAGTGAGAGTTTAACACTTGAATTTTGAAGATCTTAAATCTTGAAAACTGATTGCCTTATTTTGGAAATATATATTCATTTCTATCTTGTTTGCTCTTTTCTTTCTGCAGTGATCTTTTTAGCTATCTCCACATTCATAGAGTTCCTTTGTGTGATGTTATACGCATACGTTTTCCCGACACTTCCCATTGTTAAGTATTATCGATGAAAAGCTGCCTCTGAAGGATCCAAAACTGTTTGTGCTGATCTTGTTGCTGCTGGTATCCAAAACCAATCAGTTTTGGTAATTCTAGATTCCTCAAGAATCTTACCGTCTTTATTTTCTTAATACGTTTTCAAAAAAAGTTTTTTGATCAGAACTCAAAACCAACTGATATGGAATCTTATGCATTATATATTATTTTGGTCCCGTTGTATTTCTGATGTGGTTTCTAGTAGACCTCTTAGAGATATGATGAATTTTTGGTTCATTAATCTCAATCATAACTCCACCATTGTTTTCTAAGTTAATAACCATGTATGTAAGAAATTTTTGGCTTCAGATTCAAAATCAAATAGTAATGTATGGATTGGTTCATGTTCTTTATATAACTACCCTTCTCACTCTGATATGATGTCCTAATAATCTTTCCATTAATTATTGGTTTTTTTTTTATATACCAGATGCCTCAAGTTTCTTGATATTTCCATGCAGGGTAATGATGATTCCAATAATCGACGGCTAAGCAAGAAAGAGCTATTGCTTCAAAATATTGACTATGACATGAATCTATTCCTCATCTTTGTTTTGACAATTTCCATTTTCCCTGGTTTCTTATACGAGAACACGGGACAACATGGACTAGGCACGTGGTACGCACTTATCCTTATAGCGGTGTGCAATTGGTGGGACTTGGTCGGGAGGTATGCGCCCCTGGTGAATTGGCTAAAGGTTGAGAACAGGAAAGGACTCACAATTGCGGTTCTGTCCCATTATTTGCTCATTCCGGCGTTCTATTTCACTGCAAAATATGGCGATCAAGGATGGATGATTATGCTCGTTTCTGTTTTGGGATTAACTAATGGATATCTCTCTGTTTGTATTCTGACAATAGCTCCTAAAGGCTACAAGGTAATCCATGTTGACCTTTTACTAAATCGAGATTACGGGTTTGATTGCTTTTTCGCGTTTATGTACATATTTAAAGGAAAACAAGACACTAACCGATTTCCTCAAGAAACTGACATAAACACAAACACAAATCTCCAAATTAAGTTTATCTTTTAAACGCAACAGATCTTTAAAAACTAAGAATACTAATGGTGTGGTTTCCTTCATAAGTTAACACAATATATTATAACACAATTATGTTATATAAATGTAAAGTCAAATGCAAATGCATATTGAAAAAAAAAAGTCTTATATATAAATTTTCAAATTTGAAAATAGAAATTAAATGTTTTGTTTGTTTATAAATATAATTATATAAACACAGTTCAAAATTATTTTTGCGTAGGGTCCAGAGCAGAATGCCTTAGGGAAATTGCTGGCGATGTTTCTCTCAGGAGGGATATTTGCAGGAATCGCTTTGGATTGGTTATGGCTTATTGGTAAAAAGAATGCCTTTTGAATATATCATCATTTAATGCTTGTAACTTATAATAGTATCTCCATCGGTAGGAAAAAAAGAGAGCAAAGTATCTCAAATAAGAACCAATGAGATACTCATGAGAGCTACTCTAATAAGAATTGATGAGATACTCATAAAAAACTCTCATGACACTTATCAGTTTATAAATGGCTCGATTTTCTTTTAAGTATTAAATTTTAATTAAGTTTTATAAAATTTTAATTAAATTTTAATTATTAGTATATTAATTGTTTTTAGTTTAAATATCCAATTGAGAAACTTTAGAGATGAAAATGCTCCAAGTATGTATTCTCATCCTTAAACTAGACAAGTATCTTGACTAAAAAAATATCGAAATGAAGAATTGTCTTTGCAAAATTTCCTTTTATAAAAAAGAAATGTCTTAGAAAAATATATGTTCTTCATCCTTTTGTATTTAGAATGCCTCAAAATGTTAATGTTAGCACAGTTTTTTTGTTTTGTTTTCTTTTTCAAATATCTCAACTTTCTTTTATGAATATATATATATATATATATATATATGTACAATAGAACTGGTTTAAGATTAATTTTCTCACTTGTCCCTACATTGTATTCCAGAACAAACCCGTGAGGCCGACCTGTAAAAATTTGTTTTTGTTATATTGATACGATGGTTGGTCTAGCCCAGACTAGTTTTAATATTATCATAGACAATTTTCTTTTTATAAAAAGTATACACATTAATGTGAACACAATTTTAAGTGTGTGCACAAATTATTTTACAATTAATTAAAAACATCTCAATTAAATCATTATAAAAAGACAAGTATGTTATAAATTTCTCATAAATTTCTTTGAGTTTCTCATTTTAGAGATTTTTTTCTAGTTTCTCTCTCCATTTTTAATTATTTTTAATTATTTTAATATGAGAGACTCATTGAAAGACTCCCACTGATGATGCTCTTACTTCTAAAAGATAGATCTAAAAATACAAACACAAAACCAATATGTGAGCATTCAACAAAAAAAACTTAAGACTAATAGAAACAGACTATTTCTAAATATTTAGGTTTTATGGTTGATGATTAGGTTATAAATTAGGGTTTGAGATTTCTTTTTACGATTTATATTTTAATGTCTAATGATTCTTTCTTAGAGTTTAGTATATAAATCATATACTATTTTGTTAAATTTATAAAAATGGGTACTATTTTTCTAATCTTTTTTCATAACTCTCCGTGGTTTATTTCCTTAATGTTTAATGTTAGAAACAATCTATCTCGTCAAAAAAAAATATATATATATATATCTAATGTGAGCAATAAAAAGGAGAAGATGCTTCGGCAATTTGTGGTCATATTAAGGTCTGGTTTTGTAAGTGTTTATTGCAATAATCGTTAATGCTTAAAAAACAAGTTGTTAGGATTTATAATGGAGTATCTCGGTTGTTGTTAGTAGTGTTGGCTGCCTCTATAAACGGGAATTATGGGAAACTCATGAACAATCTAAATTTGTTTTCCATTGCATACAACAATTTTGATTTCTCAACTCTTTATTTGATTTGCAAGCCTTTGATTTCACAACGTCTATATTCTGTCACCGCTTTCAACTTCTTCAAATCTTCTTTAGCTCAAGAATCATATCAGTGGCTTCCAACAAGACAATTTATTTTACCATCCGTGTGATTATTTACTACCCGTATGATAATTTACTATCAAACAAGGGGCTTTTGCATCTCCATTCACTTTTTTTTTCAAGTTACTAAAGGTTTTTTTACACTTTTTACAAAGTAAAGTTTTTAGCAATTGTTTTACTGTTTCTCACAATGTTGTCATTGTACAATACAAGGTGTGTATGTGTGTAGTTATTTGGCAGAATAATGACAAAAAAAAAGTGACATGACGAAAATTAAAGTTAAAAATTTGAGTATCGCCGCAAATATTTTATCAAACAATTAAAACAAATTACACAAACTCCTCTTCGCATCTCCACACATGTAAAACTTTCTTCAATGCTGTTAATGTCCGTCTGCTAAGGAGATGTCGTAAAATGGATTGAATGAAGATTCATCATCTGAGAATTATAATGAGTAAAATAATTAGTTGGTATATTATTCTAAAAATGTTGAAAGTTGGTGAATTTTGAAAGTAAATAGATAATAGTTTGTGCATTTTTTGAAGTTTTCTATAAAGAAAAGTGAGGTGACTTTTACTACTTATAGTCTTATTCTAACGTTTTAACAGTTTTAGATCTTATTTTCACATATTAACATTTTAAGACTACATATCGAGTACACCTATCTTCTATTATTATTAGAGAATGACACTTAAAAATGAACTTTTATATCATGTGTTATTAACAAATTTGCCATGCTGATGTGTCAATCTCAAAGAGCTTCTCAAAGATTTTTTAAATTAGACTCAACTTACTAGATTAATTATATCATATGCCATTAACATTAATTTAGTTAGAGATTAGTTTATATCAAATATATATTTAATACTCAAACATTTAATTTGTAAAGATATTCTCTTTCTTTCTATTTTTTATCAACATATTTACAAAAATTTAATACATAATATTACTTATGTTAGTAAACATTATTTTCTTATCTCATCTTTTTTTAATCTTAATTTTGTTAAAAAACAATCATATTATCTATTTAATAATATAAAAATTTAAATTTTTTCATACATGTTATAATTCACATTTTTTATTTCAAAACAAAGTATCTTAGTGTGATATTAGACCGGTTAAATAGAACATATTAATATAATTTAGTATATTTAATATATAATTTTATTTATATAAAAAATACTATTAAAATTAATTATAAAACTCATAATTATCTAGCATTTATACAATTATATTATAAAATAAATATAATTTTAATCATTATTTATAATTACATAATCATCATATATGATGTCAAAAAAAATCATCATATATATTTGCAATTATAAATATCAACTAATATTTTTATAATATATATATATATATTATATTTGTATATTTGAATAAAAGAATTATATTTTTATAATATATATATATTATATTTGTATATTTGAATAAAATAATTATAGTTAATATTTACTCTGCATATGGTGCGGGTAATCACCTAATATTGGATTAGTTTTGAATTTTGAAAAACAATCATCTGTATTTGACTTTACTATGTTTTGAACCGGGCCAGAATGGATCTTGGATCCCAAATATTTAGCCCAGTCTTACTACTTAGTCTTACTTATTCTATCATTCAAATAGTTGAGTCTTATTCTAACATTTTTTTAAAGTCTTATTCTAACATTTTTTTTAAAGTCGTATTCTAACGTACTAATATTTTAAAACATTGAATTTTAGCGCATAACATCAAGAAATCAACAAACTCGTTGACTCTTCAAAATCATACATGCTATTTCCAAATCTTGAAACATGGCACTTCTAATATGAGTTCTCTGTAACTATTTGAGAAGAGTAGCAATGGCGGATAATTACAAGAACCAAGCTCCTGAGAAGCTTCAGGTCAGTTTACAAAAATTACAGATCTCATATCAAAAGTCTTTCAACGTTTTTTTTTTTTTTTTTTTGAGAAAAGTCTTTCAACGTTTTTTCTCCCTCAAATTGTTGTTAATATCTGAATAACAAATTGTCGGAAAAAAAAACAAAAAAAAAATCTGAATAACAAATTAATCACAGGGGAAGTATAAAGCAATGGTTGTTTCTTGTATTCTTGGAATCGGATCACTAGTTTCTTGGAACAGTCTGCTCACTATTGGAGATTACTACTACCGAGTTTTCCCGGTTCGGTTTGGTTCACACAATTCTCAGATTCTAAATTGATTTTTGGAATGTTATGATTATATAAAATTAAGTTTCTTGTCATGTCACCATAGGATTACCATCCGTCAAGAGTACTCATATTTGTATACCTACCATTTGCGCTTGGAACAATCCTGATTCTTTCATACCACGAATCAAAGATCAGTACTAGAAAACGTAACATGATCGGTTACATTCTATTCACGGTATCCACATTCTTGCTCATCGTCGTAAGTCCAAGTCCTAGTCTCTCTCTTCCATGTTTTTCTTTTGTGAAAACCGAACTCGGATTATGAACTCTCTGACTCTAAAACTCAAAACAGTTGGATTTGACAACAAAAGGACACGGTGGGATCGGACCGTATACCGGTATATGTGCAATCATTGCTTTGTTTGGTATCGCGGATTCTGCTGTACGTGGAGGAATGATTGGAGACTTATCGTTGATGTGCCCTGAACTCATACAGGTTTATAAAACATTTCAAATTCAATATCTCTGTTTAGGTTATAGTAGATATGCTTCTTCTTCATCTTCTTTTTGTTTTGGTAGTCATTCACGGGTGGTTTGGCTGTAGCCGGTGTTATAACATCAGCATTTAGGCTGATAACTAAAGCAGCCTTCGAGAAATCGCATGACGGTCTACGAAAAGGAGCAAGTGAGTTTAACATTTTCTTTTTTTTAGAGATCTCAAATCCGAAAACTGATAGCTTAAAGTGTTAAAAACTTCATTGTTTGCTTACTAATTTTGTTTATTTCTGCAGTGATCTTTTTAGCTATCTCCACATTCATAGAGTTCCTTTGCGTAATGCTTTATGCTTACGTGTTCCCCAAACTTCCAATCGTTATGTATTACCGAAGAAAAGCCGCTTCTGAAGGATCCAAAACTGTTTCTGCTGATCTTGCAGTTGCTGGTATCCAAAGCCAATTGGTAACTTCAGATTCCTCAATATAAAATCTTTCCCTTCTTGGTCTCTTTACCAAATTCTTCAAGAATCTTTCCCTTCTTGGTCTCTTTACCAAATTTTACCTTTCTTTGTTTCTTTTTACCTTACGATTCTTCATTTCTCGATTCTTTTTTTTTTAAGATTCTTAAACATTATTTTGCTTCTTGATTCTTGATTCTTTTAACATATGCAGACTGATGATGATTTAAATAATGAAAGGCTAAGCAACAGAGAGCTATTGCTTCAAAACATAGACTATGCAGTGAATCTATTCCTCGTCTATGTTTTGACGCTATCCATTTTACCCGGGTTTTTATACGAGAACACGGGGCAACACGGGCTAGGTGCGTGGTACGCGCTTGTCCTAATAGCTGTGTGCAACTGGTGGGACTTGGTCGGGAGGTACGCGCCACTGGTGAAATGGCTAAAGCTTGAGAATAGAAAAGGACTAGTGGTTGCGGTTTTGGCCCGTTTTTTACTCGTTCCAGCGTTCTATTTCACCGCCAGATATGGTGATCAAGGATGGATGATTATGCTCATTTCTATATTTGGATTCTCTAATGGATATCTCACTGTTTGCATTCTCACCACAGCTCCTAAAGAATACACGGTAATCTATCTACTATTTCTACATCAAACGAATTTTGTAATATAATTTGTGTTTTTGAGTGTAGATATAATTATTTTTATAAATATATTTTTTAATAAGTGAAAATATTGATTTTTGTGTTTAGATATATTTTTATAGTATTAAAATTAATTATAATTATAAAATAACTCGTCCGCTATTATTAATTCAAAATGAACTATTATAAAAACATAATTCTAATTTTTCCGTTCATATTACCGTATAATATAAATATTTGTTAAAAGTTTGAGATGTATTAACAGTATTATTTAGCATTATAGTTTTCTAAAATTTAATCAACGAATGGAGTGTACAACTGGTATTTCAAACCACATTATAGTGTATGCAATAATTTTTAATTTTTTATGTTTTGATTTTGTATGAAAAATATATTTTCGATATACATGTATAATTTAAAATTAGTGATATTAGTTACCAAAATATTTTTAACCCAGTTTTTTATATATATTTTTAGTTCTATAAATTTTAAAAAATATATTTTTAATATTTAAATTATACATTTGAATTTTACCTATTATTTTATCATTAATTTGTAAATAAATCATAATTGTAAATATATATTATATAAACAACAGAAATATCATATCATTTACATCATTATAAATATTTTATATTTCAAATATGACCATTATTTTTCATATGTGAATTTTTTTTTTCAAAAATTCTAGATATTTTTGAAAAAAATGTTTAATAGTATAGAAATTATTTAAATTAGAATCTTTAAATCAAATCTAAATTAATATCTGATTTATTATTTTTAATCAAATCAAATCAAATCTAAATTACCTATATTTAAGGAACTCTAAAAATATTTAAATTAATAACTAATTTTCGAAATTAAATATAAATAATTATTAAAATTATTTTTAAACATTTAAAAAAAATTAGGAGTGTTTGGACGCAAGTACTAAATGTGGTTCTGTTTTAATATAATAGATTCACTAAATAATACTTTAAAAAATAAATAAGTCCAAAAACAAATACAAATATTAATAACCAACCTCTACCTAAACATTTTTAATCTGTTTTTGCATAAAACCTCATGTTTTGCTTTTGTGAAGGGTCCTGAGAAGAATGCGCTAGGGAACTTGCTGGTGATTTTTATAACAGGAGGAGCATTTTCTGGATCTGCACTGGGTTGGTTATGGCTAATTGGTAAGGAAAATGCCTTCTGAGTTCTCTCATCAGCTTTGGGTTGGTTATGGTATTGAGTTCAAACAATTTTGGATAATATTATTTTAATTTAATTGTTATGCAACATGATTAATCCCGATAATGTGTTTTATTTCTATACAATTATCAAATTTATCAATTGAGTTTTTTATACTAATTGACTTTTATCATTTAAATATCGCCGTATCATATATTTTTCATCATAGCATGCTATTTCTCTATGCAACTATTGAATATATTACTATACTTAATAATTCCGTTTTTATATAAATGTGTAATATCTATCTATTATATTAAAACAGAAACACTTTTAGTCTTTGCATCCAAACACTCCCAAATTTGTTTTAAAAAATCAGTTATTTAAAAACTGTTTTAAGATTATCCTATTTTGTTGCGATATTATTTTTCAAAAATATATTTTTTTATATATAAAACTAATTTCGAAAATTAAATATCAATTTAGATAATTAAAGATTTCTCTAATATATGTTATATTTAATTTAAATTTAAAATACTTTTTAAAAAAATTGCAATTAAATTTAAGTCTAAAAAGTTAGATATTAAATCAAATTACTTTAGACTTCTTTAATATAGTTTAGATTTAATTTCACATTTAAATTTTAAATAATATTTTTATAATAACACATATGATTAATGAATATGTTATTGTATTTTTTTAATCATAATCAATCATTCAAAAATTTTATATATTGAAAATTGATAAAAATTTATATTATATGGTAAGTTGATGGGACATATTAAGTTTTTTTTTATATATAATTATGATCTTATGTGGATTAAGTTATCAAAACATGGAAGATATTAAGCTAAAAAGTATTTCAAAATTAGTAAATACTTATATTATATAGTAATATGAACGGATGGTTAAGAATTATGTTTTCATAACTACAGTTTTTTTTCAGATTAATCGAATGAACGAGTTAAAATTATATTTTATAATAACTGTCCTTTTTTATTAATAGAATGATCTGGTTATAATTATGTTTTTATGAACGCGGTCTTAATAATACTAAAAAAATATACATATTTTATTTAAACAAAAAATAAATATTTGTCACTTATAAAAAAATTATATCTATAAAGAAAATATAAATTACATTACAAAATTTGCTAAAATTTCTGTGCAAATGCACGGGATAAAGTCTAGTATTACTTAAATACATTAGAAACTCTATAAATTAATATTTGATAAAATAATAAATACTATAAATTAATAGTTTTTCATAGTTCTAAGTTAGACCGATTCAAAATATGAAATAATTCGATAAAATAATAAGATAATAATTTTACTAATTTTTATTTAAAAATATAAAATCCCATATCATAAATTAATAATTATCTTTAAAAAATCTAATATAAATATATAAGTGAGGTAATCTACTAAAATATGAGTTTAGTAATATTTTTTAATTCAAATTAAAGTATTTTTAGAATTTATCTTTAATTTTAAAAACAATTTTTTAAATATTATAATCTTTTCTTTAATTTATTTATAGACGGATTTGGATAACTACTAATAGTTTTTGATCCCCAAGATAACATTTTGCCCCCAAATAATCAATTTCGTATACCTTTAATTTTAAAGGATTTGGTGGTTCTTACTTCATAACCGAGACCAGACTTTTAAATCATCAGTAACATGTTATTGGAAAAATAGACCGATATAGTGCAATTAAGTACGACAGATCCAACCCTGTTATGGCGGCAACTGAGAAGATTGGTGGCTGGAACCATATAGTCATGGAAAAAAGAGAGTATACTAATACGAAAGAACTTAAATTACCTGAAGTGGAGTTAATATAATACTTCACCAAATTGGCATTGTTGGAGGTGAAAACCACAACTCCGATATGAATCGAGATTGGTCTCATTAAACCTGATTAACGACGGTAGAGTATTGAAGAAATTAAAATCGGTTAAATATGGGCCAACATAAGCCCAACAACATAAGATCGGTGAAACTTTCTTAGAAGAAAAAGAAAGTTTATACTTTTGATTTATAAAAAAAAAACTCTTTAAAAAATCCAAAGTCAACTACGAAAAAGAAAATCCCGACTAAACTAACTACAAGATTGTATAATATAGGGGAGAGCCCTGATTTGTGACACACGGAAGAAATCAAGAGAAACTTCTAAATTGAGAGCTCAGAACCTTCAAACTTTTTGATTTTACTATATTTCTCAGTTCTAATTCGTTTACTATTCCCGTATAAACGAAATCAGTTGTATTTTTGAACTCATGTTAATAAAAAAAACCAATTTCTGATCTAATATACTATTTTTATCTATTTTGTGTGATATTACATATCAAACAATTATTTTTTGTATAATATTACATATCAACATAGATAACTGATAACTTGTACAAATTCACCAATGCTCAATCCTTTTTTTTTGGTCACTTACGAGTTACGACTATTTTAGACCCATATGGGCAGCTCGTTATATAACTATTTCTAACTAAACTCTATAACTATTTCCCACCACAATCTGCAGCATGCTTCAGCTAAAAGAAATCATTAATGATTACTTGCGATGTGTGGTGGGAAATGGGTTAACTGCTTCCTTCTGGTTTGATTATTGGAATGATTTGGGCCCTCTTATCTCAATGTTTGGTGTCTCGGGTCCCCGCCAGCTTCGTATTCCATTATCGAGTCATGTCATTCAGGGCACAAGGCATGGTGCATGGCATCTTCCCGCAGCGAGATCTGATCTATCTGAGACCCTTCAAACGGTTCTCTGTACTATCTCCCCTCCGTCTTCTGATAAATGCAGTGACTTATACCTTTGGCAGAATGCGGCAGGAGGTTTTGGTCCTTCTTTTTCTTCAAAGGTTGCCTGGGATCACATTCGTGAATCATCTCCGACGGTGCCTTGGCATAAAATTATCTGGTTCAAGGAGGAAATTCCTAGGTGCTCCTTCATTGCTTGGCTCGCTATGCTTGTTCGCCTTCCTACAAAAGATCGTCTCTTACGATGGGGAATGAGTGTGCCAGGCCAATGTCTTCTCTGTAATTCCGAACAGGAGTCTCATGAGCATATTTTCTTCAGATGCACATACTCTTCCGAGCTTTGGTCTCGTTTTGCAGGCTCCCTCTGGCCAAATCCTCCAACGTCTTATCAGCTGGTCCCCGCTTGGATTGGTCAAAGGACTTCCGGTAACTCCCGCCGGCTTCAGGTTATAGCCAAGCTCATGTTTCAATGCATCATCTACTCCCTGTGGAAGGAGCGGAATGCGTGTGTCTTCTCCTCTGTTTCTTCTCCGGTGCTAGTGTTGCGATCCACTGTCGACCGAATGATAAGGGATCAGCTCCTCGCGTTTCCGGCCAGGAGTCTCTCTTATCCCTCGCTGCTCGAGCTTTATTTCCAACATTTAGGATCTCTTAGCTAATGTGTATTGTGTATTGTTCTCTTCTCCCTCTTGTTCTTCTTCAATTAAGTGGCTTGCCACAACTCTGTATAAATCTTGAAAATGGTATGAAATCTTAACATTTTAGAAAAAAAAAAACTCTGTAATAATGTGCTAACATGTGATGAATTTGATTAAAATATGTAGTCAAACGATACTTGAATAATTTATGACTACTATATTTTTAAAAAATTCATAGAACAAGGAATATCCTAGAATACGTACCAAAACAAAATATGTTTTCCAAAAATACTTAAGTCTTTCTAAAGGCTTCAAAAGTTTGTGTGATATTTCTAATAAAAAACAGCATATTAATACTTTAAGAATATCTCAAGAAACAATACCAAGTACATATATATATATTATATAGTCACAAAATTTTGATAGTTTCCGATCGAAAAATAATTATTGTTTCTTTAATTGGTTTCAAATTAATATAGTAATTCTTTTCCTCAAAGATGCATGTCGATATCAATCATTAAATAAATTTTCTCGAGGAAAGTATTGCTTTCAGACTACAAAGTCTACACCGTATTCCAGTCTATTAAATATAGAAACTAAAAAAGCTTTCACACTTTCGGATTCTTTAATCTTTTGATTCTGTTTCTTCTCCATTTCTTCTAAGTCTTATTTTATCCTCTCAAATTCGCTGTCAAACCTTAAACTCCCTATTATTTTACTCGCACTTCTCCATGTTTTAAGAATCTTGTTTTGAATCTACATGAAAGCTTTGCTCGTAATAAATTCAACAAACCCGTTGACTCTGCAAAAATCCTCATGTGCTAAGTTCCAAGTAAGTGTATATGTAGCTTTTTTGCTCACCCAGAAAAGAATAAAACATCATCTTGTTTTGGGTTCGGTCCAATTCTTGAATCTTGAAACAGGGTTGTGTTCTCTTGAACTCTCTGTAACTATTTGAAAATGGCGGATAGATACGAAAACCAAGTTCCTGAGAAGCTTCAGGTAAGCTTCCACAAAACCCAGAACTCAGATCCAAAATCTTTCGTTTGTTTTCTGAAATTTTTTCTTGTTTATGTCTGAATTCAAAAACAGGGGAAGTTTCAAGCAACGGTTGTTTGCTGTATTCTTGGAATCGGAGCTCTTGTTTCTTGGAACAGTATGCTCACTATCGCAGATTACTACTACCAAGTTTTCCCGGTTCGTTCGGTTTCTTTTTCGATTCAGCCAATTCCCAGATTCGTTATTGGTTTTTGAAATCTGATGTTCTGTTTTGAATATCTAAGAAAAAAGTTGAAAACTTTTATATTTTTCTTTTGCAGGATTATCATCCTTCAAGGGTACTTACACTTGTATACCAACCTTTTGCGCTAGGAACAATCGTGATCCTCGCATACCACGAATCAAAAATCAATACCCGTACACGTAACCTCTTTGGTTACATTCTATTCACAATATCCACGTTCTTGCTGATAGTCGTAAGTTATAAGTTATTGTATTTCTATTACATAATGAAACTTGATTATGATTATGGACTTAAAGAATCTTAAAAACAGTTGGATTTGACCACAAAAGGACGCGGTGGAATTGGACCGTATATCGGTTTATGCGTAATCGTTGCTTCTTTTGGCCTCGCGGATGCTACCGTTCAAGGAGGAATGATCGGTGATTTATCATTGATGTGCCCTGAATTCATCCAGGTTTATCAATTTATAACAAGTTTTTAAGATCTTGGTTTAGATTAACCGTTTTAGATTAAACAGATTTTACTAGAGATTCTTGCTTCTTTGTAGTCATTCATGGGCGGCTTGGCTGTAGCTGGTGCTCTTACTTCAGCGCTTAGACTAATAACTAAAGCAGCCTTTGAGAACTCAAACGACGGTCAACGGAAAGGAGCAAGTGAGTATAACATTTTCCTAAGATCTTGAAGCTTCCAATTAGTGTTTAAGAACTTCACTTCTTGCTTTGCATTTTTTGGTGTTTCCTTTTTTGCAGTGATATTCTTAGCAATCTCAACATTCATAGAGTTCCTCTGCGTGATGCTTTATGCTTACGTGTTCCCCAAACTTCCAATCGTTAAGTATTACCGAAGAAAAGCCGCTTCTGAAGGATCTAAAACTGTTTCTGCTGATCTTGCAGCTGCTGGTATCCAAAACCAATCAGATTTGGTAACTTCAGATTCCTTCAAGATATTCCCTTTCTAAAAGTTTCTTGTAAAAGATTCCTCAAGATCATCTTCTTTCTTGATTCTTGCTTTACTAAGATTCTTCACTCTTAATCGTTTGATTAGCTTCTTGATACATCTATGCAGAGTAATGATGATTCCAAGAACCAACGGCTAAGTAACAAAGAGCTATTGCTTCAAAACATAGACTATGCAGTGAATCTCTCCCTCATCTACGTTTTGACATTATCCATTTTTCCCGGGTTCTTATACGAGAACACGGGACAACACGGGCTAGGCGCTTGGTACGCGCTTGTGCTAGTAGCTATGTACAACTGTTGGGATTTGGTCGGGAGGTACACGCCGCTGGTGAAATGGCTCAAAATTGAGAACCGAAAAGGACTTACTTTTGCGGTTTTGTCGCGTTTCCTCCTCATTCCTGCGTTCTACTTCACCGCAAAATATGGCGATCAAGGATGGATGATTATGCTCGTTTCTGTTTTGGGATTAAGTAATGGACATCTCACTGTTTGCATTCTCACCGCAGCTCCTAAAGGCTACAAGGTAATATACTTGAACCTTTTCCTAAATAGAGATTACGGATTTGATTGCGTATATAGACGAAAACACAACGTGTTTTGTTACTGGTTTCTTAAAAGTGTAATTTACTTAATTTGCCTGCATCATTGATGTAGAAACGCTGTTTTTCTTTTCGGTTTGGATACAATTTAACACTCATAAGAAAAAAAAAACACAACGTGCTTAGAGTGTGTGGTTCAATCATAACATCACTATGTTTGAATATTTAAACACAAACGCCATAACAAAAAAGCATTGTTCGAGATTAAAACAATGAATCTCACACTTGTTCTGACTCAAAATTTGGCTTTGTTTTTGTGAAGGGTCCGGAGCAGAATGCGTTAGGGAACTTGCTGGTGATATTTCTGCTAGGAGGAATATTTGCAGGAGTTGCATTGGATTGGTTATGGCTTATTGGTAAGAAGAATGCGTTTTGATTCATTTACTCATCATCATCATCTCTCCACACCAATCATTCAGTTACTTAATTGGAGATTAATCTGTTTTCTTTTTTCATTAGCCCCAAAAAAAAAATATTATTTGCTTGTAACCTGCATGTGTTCTTATCATTTAGACGAGAGGATATTTAACTACATTTACTACGTATACATGGGGTGTTAAAAGATAATCGTTCCTTTTACTTCTCGCAACATCCACCATAAAACGCAGCTGAAAAAAAAATGATAAACAAACCATAACACATGTCGAACCAGAGATATTCTAGGGATTGAGAAACCATAAAATTTTACTTACTAAAGATAAAATTCATCAATTCTATAACTATCGTTATTATAACATTTACGTTAATATCATTGATAATGTATCAACTTGAACAGAATTCATTTGTAAAAAAATAAAAAAAAAAAAAAAATTTTAAGCAGACGATTAAACATAGCATACCATTTGTATATAAGCGTTCCTGAAAAGTAGAAAAACATAATTGAGCGCAACGCTGGTGTAACTTGTTTTAATCCATTCAAAAATTGAAGAAAAAAAAGGAAGTTACATCAACGCTGCACTCAATGATGTTCATTCAAACTCAGGAAGAAAAAAAAACATCTCCTTGCTCTTTTCCACCGCTTTGGAAATGAACAAAATCGTCTTTGACACTTTTATAATGCATTGTGTGTTTGGTTTTAAAGCAGTACAACTGTACAATGCTTTCCTGTACTATTGTGTATGATTTACGAACCGTGCTTGTAAATCGTATTTTTATGGGTTTCAAGTTTGTTTTTCCTGTGATTGTGTTAAAAAGAAAACATTGTTTAAGTATTCTTGATTAAAGTTATAGAATAATCCAAGTTGACGTATGTACTAAAGATCGGTGTTTCGTTCGTGTGTACCGCATCGAAACACCAACCTTTTGTACTACATGAAGATCATCTCTACTTCAACGACGTCGTTCTTTATTTAACTATAAGCCTTTGAACAAAAAAAAAAAAATCCTATAAGCCTTTAACTACTTAAATTGAATTCGAAGCAAAATTTCTTTAGGCACATCATGAACTCATTTCCCTTTCATATTTAGGGTATAGAGTTGGGCACATCCCTTAAGCCTATAGGATATCCTATTTCTAATAAATAGTATTCATAATCCGCTCCACAACTATCGGATATCTAATTTTATTATCCGTTCAACCCCCAAATATTTATATAGTTTTGTTTTGGTTTGTCTTTAACAGATTTCTATTTGTATAAAATATGTAACATGAATTGAATTCAAATTTCGTTTGCTTTGATTTGGCACAGTTTCAAAGCTGATTAAGGTATTTTTTTTTAAAGCAAAGTTCTAGAATTTCTAAAAATAGTAAAAATTCAATTTAGTTTATGTTTTTTTTGTCGAAAAAAGAAAAGAAGCACGAACCTAATCAAAAAGAGATCTTTAGATAAAAATTAAAAAACAATTCTAGGGGTGAACCCTTTTATTCACCTCTTCCTTTCTAACCAATCAAAATAAACCATCTTTTTTATTTAAACAAAAAAACAATTAATTACTAACTCAATTAAATGATTGTAGGACTCACAATTTTAAGAGGAAAAAATTTGATGCACGATTTGGACCTTTTTTTTTAGTAAGTTTAATTTTAAATTAATATTTTACTTTTTTTTCTAACCAATTAAAATAAGTCAATCTCTTTTATTTAAAAAAATAAACTGAATGTATAAATCTCAAATAAAAAAATAAACTGAATGTCTAAATTTCAAATAAAAAAACAAACTGAATTTTAATGCTTTTTTAGTTTCTCTTTTTTACTTCTTCTCCTTTTTTGTTTCTCATTGTCTCATGTCTTTCTTTTATTCTTTTTTTTAATGATGAACCACCATAACTCTTGTCAAATTTCAAACAAAAGTAAAATTTTAAATTATTAAAAAAGTGACACATTACTCAAATATAAATATTTAGAATGACACTAAAAAACAATAATAAACAGAATTATGTATTTACATGGAAGGATTGTGATAAAAATTGTCCATTTTGTAAGTTCGAACTAGTGGTAGCACCAAATAACTGGGTATCGAAAGTATTTGTATCCTAAATATTTATCAAATTTATCCAATAATTAGTATATATAGTTATATTTAGAAAAAAACAATGATAAAAAATAGTAAACATAATGAAACATAATCAAATTTTGTTTTTTAACCTCCAAAGCTGCTGAAACTTACAACTGAATGTCTTTTTAAATGATAATGGAGAAACTAAAACCCTAGTGAAAATGTAAAATATCAGTTTAAAAGAAAATCCACTAAACAAAATAAACCAAGAATTGTTCAACATTTAATTTATATGTATATAGCTGATGTCTTCCTAGAAGTTAATTATGACGTTAAACATAATAGCAATAGAAACATATATTGATTAATACAAAGATAAACCAAGAGATTATATGGTCTTCTAGGAAGACATCAGCTATATACATATAAATTAAATGTTGAACAGTTCATAGCTCACAATGACGTATTATTGACGTACTTTTCTGAATAATGACCACATTAATAACCCATGTGATTATAGAAGCTTCTTCTCTTTCGATAAATTATCAAACATATGTATAAAGTCCACTTCCATTTTTGGCGACATTAAGCAGATTTTTGGGTTGTTTTGGCAAGATTCTTAATTTAGTTCTAGTTTGTAATTTTTTAAAAAGGTTAGCTAGTCACTTAGTCTTTTAAGAAAACTTCAGTCTTCAGACTCTTAATAATAATGGACAACAAATACAATCTTAATCTACATATACAATTACTCTAGTCATTTGGTAAGCACCCAAACAAACACTACAAGAAAAACATCATTTTACAACAGCCAAAATGGTCGTTATTTCGTCGTAATAAGACTAGACGAACTACCGACGATTTCGAAATCGTCGTAAAGTCATCGTCGTAATAGACAAATCGTCGTAAAATCGTCGTAAAATATACGACGGTTTCGTTTCGTCGTAACATCGAGGGAAACAAAATCGTTGTAAATGCGTCGTACAGTTTACGACGATTTTACATCGAATTGCATCGACTTGGTCTTCGCCTGGACCGTCGTTAAGTGGTCGTTAATGGTCGACGGAAGATCGTCGTAAAATGTACGACGCATAAATCGTCGTAAATCAATCGTAAAGTATTTATTCGTCGTAAAAACGTCGTAATGAATATTGTCTACCAGACATACCAAATGGAGTAAAACCATCAGTGCACAGACCAAGATAGACATTCCGTTTGAACTTAGCAAAATCTGGGTATACTATATTGAAGTGTTTCCATGCCTTTGCATCTGATGGATGAACAACTTCTCCATCTACTTGTGTATGTTCTGCATGCCATCTCATTGATGCAGCTGTCCTTTCAGATTGATAAAGCCGTTTTAACCTATCAGTTATAGGGAGATACCACATACGTTGGTACGGTATCCTTTTACGCCCACCAGTTTGCGGCCTGTATCTTGGTTTTTGACAAAATCGACATTCCTCCAGCTGATTATCATATTTCCAAAAAATCATACAGTTGTCAACACATACATCTATCATCTGAGAAGGTAGACCAAGATTAAAAATCAACTTCTGAATTTCATAGTATGTTCCCGCTGCCAAGTTATCCTCCGGTAGATACTCTTTCAGAAGATCAGTCCAATCATCCATGCAAACCTCAGCGAGGTTATGATCTGTTTTAATTGACATCATCCTAGCTGCCAACGATAATTTAGACAAGCCTTCTCTACATCCTTCGTAGATTGGCTAATTAGCATTGTCTAACAAATCATAAAATCGTTTGGCATCTACATTAGGTTCCTCAACATCATTACCAGTATGCGTTTCATGAAATGCATCAGTCACCATTTCGTGCATCCTATCATGATCTACACTTTGATCATATTGATACTGATTAGGCTGATGACCATAATTCGATTCATTAATATCAACATGACTTTGATAATTACTACTACTACCAGCATTCCCATGAGTATTACTGCCATATCCTTCTCCATGTAGATACCAAACAAAATATTGCAGCATAAACCCTCTATTTAATAAATGCGTCCACACGGTTTTGGTTAGTGTATACCTCGTATTCTTGCATTTCAAACAAGGACAAAACATCTTCCCACTATCTTTCGTTCTCTCCATATTTGTAGCCTGAAACATAAATATTTCTAACCCGTTCTTGAACTCTTCTGTCAACGCCCCATCTGAATCTTTACGCATATACATCCAACTTCTTAGCTCGTATATAGACATCTTGAAAATAAACTCAAAATACTATCTCTTTTTATTGATTAGACAATTGTGTCACGATCTAGCCACGTGAATGGAGTAAATTAAACTTATAATATTATTACTTCTTTTTTTCAAAGTAATATAACTCTTAATTCGGGTTTCCAGCAATGGACAACCCAATATATAAGGATTTACAACACTATACTAAAATTTAAGAGACCTACAATGGGTCTCAAAGATGAAGATGCTCTTATGTTTGAATGATGATGTGTTGTGATTGAAAGAAGGAATGAAAATCTATTTATAGGAAAATTTCGGGCTTTACAACGCTTTTACGACGACATTTTACGACGAATTTACATTCAAAAATAATATTACGACGAGTTTACGACGATTATGCGATAAAATCTATCCCCTGTAATTGTTAGGTAAACATGTTTTAAATGTTTTCCACCTAACTTCTTTTCGACGTAAAATCGTCGTAATATGTATATCGAAATGCAGTCGTCGTATATTCGTCGTAATGTTACATCGAATTTACGACGATTTTACATTTACTAGCAAATCTCTCGTTATCGATGTATAATCGTCGTAATTCGTCGTAAATTGTACGTCGAGTTTACGACGATTTTTTTATACGACGGTGTTACGACGGTTTTTAAAATAAACGTAAAATCGTCGTAAAATCATTGTAAACTTGCGATGATTTGAAAACCGTCGTAATGGACCATTAGAAAACGATTGTTTTCTTGTAGTGAAAGTGATATTATCCACTTAAAAGTTACAATAAATGGTAAAATTATGGAAGTGACTTTGGTCCAATAGATGGTTTATTGGTTAAGAGGTTGACATGTAAAGATTTATAGATGTTTCACTCTTACACACGTTATAAACGGAGAAATG